TCTACCTACCTCTACCTACCTCTACCTACCTCTACCTACCTCTACCTACCTCTACCTACCTCTACCTACCTCTACCTACCCTACCTACCTACCTACCTACCTACCTACCTGCCTACCATTCACATATCACAAGGTGCCACTTCTCCTCACCTACCCAGATGCTTGTTCTAAGATGTTCGGAACAGCCCCCTTGTCTCGCCGATTTCGTCACAGGTCATGGGAAACCCTGTGGAGATTCGTGAGTGGAATCTTCAAGGCCTACCAGCAGATGCCCGGGGCTCCCGGGCGTGATGACGCGACGACGATTGCAGAGGTAGATGCAGATGGCAGGATGACATGAACCAGAGCAAAGAAGGACATGCACAAGTCTCTCTTGTGGTTGAGCACCACTGTGGGAAATTCCGTCCTTCGGCTTCTGTGTTTGAACATAAACTGCCGCCATCTAGCGCCCTTATAAGTGATCGCCTTCTGCAGGGTGGCGGGTTTGCGTCAGGTCGGAGGTCCGGGTTTGCATCAGCTCAAACGGCACGGTACGGTCAACGTGGCTCTCAAGGCCGTGTCCATCAACAACGGTGTCATGGTGATGCGAGGGAAGCGTTGGCCCCTGATGATCGACCCACAGTCACAGGCATCGGCGAATGGAGTTGAGCGGAATTCGTGGGTTCATGTGGGCGCAGGGATCGAGTGGCCAAGAGATGTCAAAGAGGATTATGTGTGAGAAACATCAGCAACAAATTACTAGTAATAAGAAACATGTTCCATGCAAGAAGATGAGACAGTTTTCAAACATTGAACATCTTTTTTTCACAGGGGACACCCAGTTACAAGTGCTTCTGGCATGCGTGTTCGATGGTTTACCTGACGAAGTATGGCAGTATCTCTAGCTGGGTCTTCTTTGCATTCGAAAGCTTGCTGAGTGTCTCCAAGTGTATCGGGTTACCCGCAAACAGGTGACTTAACCCGGGTTCCCACGGGTTCGCCCGTTGAAAATGGCTGCCATGGCAAGGTTCGGTTCAAGTTTGCTCTCTCAGTGGTTTGGGGTTCGTTGATTTTCAGCACTCGACGCCCAGGGAGAGTTTTCTGGCAGAAAAAGGAACACATCATGAAGAACGCATGAATGACGTGTTCTCACATCATGACCAGAACATCAACTTTCTTGTTGCCGGGTCAGGGCAACAAGTGGATCAAGAAGAAAGAGGGCAAGGACTTCGAAAGTCGAACTTTGCGGTTGCTTTGTGAAGAGATGTTCATCGACAGCTAGAAGCTACTAGTAACAAGAAGCTACTAGGTTGCTGGCCATCGCTAGGTTGGAGGCCATTACTACTAGTAACAAGGGTATCGCTACTAGTCATGCCCGAAAGGAGATCCCACTCTTGGGCGTTCGTTTCAAACATCGGGACGTTCTCGTGGGCAATGTTCTCGTCTTCAGGACCTGAAGACGCTGAAAATGACCAATCCAAAGATGCTTTTGATTCTCGAAGGCTGGAGGGAAAGCACCACATGTCTGGTATCAAGATGTATCAAGATGTATCAAACGTTTGCTTGTTTTTCTCGTTCGTTTGCCTGTCTTTCACACACGCCAAGTGATGACAATGACTCACAGCAAGAACCCAAGGTGTTTTGATGTTTCCAGTTACTGTGTAATGCAGAAGCATCATCCTTGACGTTTGGCCCCATTTGATTCGCAAAAGCTACACTCATACTTAATACTAATGCACGTCAGTAGCATACTGCAATAACACATTATACGCAACAATCTAGATATTTAAATGATGCATATCAACATGTATGAATTAAAAACATCAGTTTGGTGTCACTTCTTTCCACTTCCCCATTTGATACCAGGCTGCATCCGCACGGGTGCTCCAATGCTCATGGAGGAGCAGAAAATGTTTTTGACCAAGCAGATGTCTGTTTCACTGATTTAAAATTGGACAAACTACAAAGGAGCATTGTCATAAACCTCTATGGAAGAATTTAGCTAGAGCTTTAAGTTCCCGAAAGAAAAGCTGCAGTTGGTTTAAGCTTTTCGGTGGTGGGGGGTTGTTGCGAAAGCGTTGGTGAAGAGGATTTCAGTGAGATGCACTGCATTTAGTATAGGTGACTTGTTTTGGTAGTTCATTGCCAACAAATCCCAGAGATTCCGTCACATGTATATAATTACAAATCCATTCATATAATTTATTGGGCGAAAGGTTGGCGAAGATAGCGCGAAAGGCGTGTGGTTGCAGCTTAGGAATATGGTTCCCCTTCGTTTGCGAGACAAGACACAGCAGCGACAGCTGCAGGAAATTTCAGAACGCAGTCACCTAGTCATTAAGAAGTAAAAGCCCCGACGGATAGCCACCCCTATTTGAGGAACAACAATGCTTTTGCTATTCCCTATCCACCTGGGTATAGACTTGAGGGGTAAAGGGGTGGAGTAAAGGGGTTGCAAAAGAGCTTTAGGCTTGAGTAGGTAGGGTCTGCAAAAGCCAAGCATGTCGAGTCATGCGAAAGGGGTAGTCGAAAGACACTTTTGAATTTTAATTTTCCCGGATGGTTTTTGTGACCGTTCAAAGTGACAAGACTACAGAAGCTCAAACCGGTGGCAAATGAAGCCTTTCTTGGTGCGAGGACATTGAAGAGACACTAGACCCAGCCTTGGAGCCAGTCTTGCTAAAGGCCTGACACCGTTTGGAGCTGGCATGTTGTTCCTTGGGAAGGTCAGGGCCTGACACCGGTGTTTGGCACATCCATCCGTAACTGGCACAGTAACTGGCTGTCAGTTTGTGATTTGAGCAAGCAATCTTGTGGGGCATTGTTACTGCGTGAATTCCAGTCTTGGTTTTGGCTTTTCCAACCTGCTCGGTCTGTCCCTAATTCAAACCCGTCACGTCGCGAACACGTCGATGCTTTGCGAGGCGGTCTACGAAGACAACAACCGCCTTCAGATCAAGCTCGGGGATAGCGAGGCACTATGGCACCATGGGAGGGAATATATGGCTGCCAGCCTCTTGTTGCAGGGCTGAGGCTTTGACCAGTCACCAGCTGTATGCTGTAAGCTTCTTCTGTACGCAAGCTGTATACCTGGATGGATGGATAGATGGATAGATGGATGGATAGATGGATAGATGGATGGATAGATGGATGGACCTGGATGAGATCCTCTGACTCTGAAGATCCCTTCGGCAGTCTGAGGCTATCCCATGCTTGTTCGGGGGATTGCAGCCTGAAGCCGAACTTCAGTTCGCAGGTGGACTATGACAAGAACTTCCTGTTCTACATGACGACAAAGATGCCAAACCCGCACTACTTCCCTGAAGTTTGCATCAAGGCCCGTCGAACTTGCTTGTGTTTTTTCGTATCTTTCACACAGAACAGCCCTGGTATCAAACAGCTTGGGGCAAAAAACAAAACGAAGCAGGCATGCTGTTCTGCCATGTCGGAAGCTGTACCTGTTGATAGACAGACCATGTTGTACAGGTGGATGATGAGAGAAGATATCAAATGCAGTTTAGTCCATCGCATTTTTTGGGGAGGTGGATTGAAATTCTACCTCCAGGTCCAGAACCATCGACTAATCAGAACCGCGCAGCTTGCTTCTTATATCATAATGTGGTGCATTGCACAGTGGCACATGAGGTGCCACTGCTTGCTGGGGTAGTTATTTCATAGTTCATCAACCTCAAACTAGCTTGAGCAAACACATCCTCAATACCCATTGGATCGAGTGCTCACCGTGCTCGAAGGTCACTGTGCCTCGCTTGTCTTTGAATGTGATAGGCCCCGTGCCTCCCCCTACCTACGACGATTCGTGGTTGAGTTTCCCGTCGAGGTCACAGTGATCAACTTCACCGTGACCTTCGAAGGCTTGGAGGAGCAGCTGCTCAACGAGGCGACGTCGTGAAGCGAAGCGGAGGTTCCGCGTGAGGGTTCAAGCGGAGGTTGGCGTGTGAGGGTTGAAGCGTGGAAATGCGTGGAAGGTGACTGTTGGAGTGCTGGCACCGTGTTTTTTGATAAGGTGGAGGTGATAGATAGGGTGGGGGGGAGTGGAGGAAGAGAAGGAGGATACCAGGAGTGAGCCAAGCAAAATAGACTTGTATGTGTATATATATATATATCTATTGTGGTGCCAGGTGGTCTCAAAGGAAATTCCAGAGACGCTACAGAGAAGAGCCCAGGGCCAAGCTCTTTCTGTTCGCTGCGGCATAAGAGTGCTTTTTGAATGCTTTTTGTGTTTATCATTTCAGAGCCTTTTGACCACCTGACTAGCTGTCAGAAGAGACCTAGGTGGAGCTGATGCTTCAGTTGGCGGATGATAAGAAGGTCTTGAAGCAGCTTGAGGATAAGATCCTGAAGCTCCTTTCAGAGTCAAGTGGTGCCTCGGGCCTTGCTGAGCCAAGGGAGATTAAAATGCAGATCATGTCAATGAGCATGTCAATGCGTGAGCATGTATCATCTTAGATCTTAGGGATTCTTAGGGAACCTGTTGTAAACTCGGTACGATCCCTCATCTATCAGCATGGAGCCGCCTGCGGCCCTGAGGCAATATCCTTGACGATCAGGCCGGTCAGCCATGCATTGCTTTCAACAGCACTTTCTTCGCAAGATTGGAGCAGATTATACAACTAGTTGTGTGTTTGCTTTAGCCATCCGACACCGAAGTTCTTGACATTTGGACTCAAGTCAGGCTCCCGACTAAACACTTAATTGACCACTTAACCACAGCCCCAAACCGCCAAGTATTTGATGTAATTGAACGCTCAATGTTAACATGCTCTAAGGACACAAGGACACCGGCGCCCTGTTGCGTTGATTTTCTTACTTAAGTCTTGTGATTGTGCCGCACTCTGAGCAAGTTTCCAACAGGGCCACTTCAATCCAGACCTCCAACCACATTCATCTTGTGATACTCCACACATCCGGCCATGGTTTCCCATCCTTTGCGTCAATTCATCCGCCCCTTCTTTCCAGTTACTCTCCCTCACTCATCCTCACCTCGCGATGTATGAAAAATCCTCCAGGTGTTGATCAGCACTTTGGGCGAGTCCAAAGAGACCTCCACGGCGGTGAACCAACGAGTGAAGGCTGCGGAGGAGGCAGCGGTGGAGCCACCTGGACGTTTTCAGACCGCGTCTCCACGTGGGGGGCGAAGTGCGAAGGTGGTCCTAAGTGCTGTGGGGTAGAGAGAGGTGTAGGAATGGGATAGGAATGGGTAGGGAGGGGAGTAAGTCGATTGCAGCTAAATGTAGGCGCTGGTTCGTAGACATTTGCAGGAAGAGTTGCAATTTTTGGAGTGCAAACTTTGGTTCATCAAATTGATCTCAACACATCTCCAGCAGCTTGGCGTGTTTAAGGATCGATGCTGCCTGCAAGCAGTACACGGAGGCACGCATCAATCTGGCGCAGCTCAGTTTTGCACATTTGAGGTCAAAGACATGAAGACAGAACTGCGCAGGGCAAGGCTGTGTAAGAAGATGAAGATGCATTGACTGGTATGGGACAGAGAAACAAAGAATTGGAGCAGGGTCCTTGGACCAAAACGGCAGTGAAGTAGAGAATAGATGTGCTGGACCTCTTGCTCAAGCCAACCTGTCATGCCCAGAAACGGTTTCAATATGTCTCTTGACATCCTACCCTACCATTTGTTTAAACTGTGCCTTCAATTAGGGTCCAAATGTCTGGCTGGTGGACTGCAACATGTCCCTACATGAGTGGCCAGTAGAACGAGCACGCGAAGGGCAAAGGGCTTGGTTTTGTCGTGAAACAGCGTTCCGTGAAACACGCCAAAGCACATGTGTGTGAACAGTTGAAGGGCTGCAGGTTACAGGTCGCAGTCGACATTGACTTGTCACGATGCAGTGCCTCTACCATTCACAATCTTGAGGATGACACGTGCCACGAGAGCGCCCACATTACATTCCAGATACTTATATGCACACAATGTTGCAACATACTTGCGTTTAAAGCTTTGGGCGTATTTGTTTCATTAGTCTATAGACAGCGTTGCACAAACTATAGTTAGATCTTTGCCCTGACACAGGATTGCGGTTGGATTTTGAGTTCTTTCGGAACAGCCGTGATCCGCTTTTGGGATGATTGTGTGCAGAAAAGGGCAGGAGTTTGCAGGAAAAGAAATGAAAGGAGGACAGGACAGGAAGGAAAAAGGGAAAAAGGCATGTAAAAGAACAATTCGTTTAGTTCCACAGTTCCACATAAAATGCAGCTTGCGTTCACTTGGGTCAACGGTCAACCAGGGCATTGGTGATATTGCGAAATGTTCAGTCCCATGTTCCGCCATGAATATGCTGAACCTTTTGCACGCAGCTCCCATGTGCGTAATAGCCAAGTCTACTCCATTGGATCCTGCTGGATCTTCAGTACTTCGGTAGCGTAGCTTTATCCAGATGCAGGGATTCCTTCCAAACTCCCTTGTAGCTTGCCACATGAACAAATGTTTCACCAGCAAATTCCGCACTCCGGCTGTCAGGTTGCCATGTGGTGTGTTCACCTCAAATCGATACATCTAAACTCTGATTTACTAACATGGAAGTGGACACATAAAGGACAATCTGCATGCAAGGGTCTAGCCTCCACTTCTATGTTAGATTCTGTTAGGACAATTTGCCACACGTAAATACATCATTAATGCATGTGTCCAAAGCTTCAAGCTGTCAGGTCGCCACACGTGGCAGCATCCTCTACTTTGTCATCGCTGATTTGGCCAACATCAATCCCATGCTCCGGCGCTCAGTCGTCTCCCTGCGCTCACCCCGGTCCGGTCGCCTGCGCTCACCCCGGATCCCCGGCCTTGGTCGGATCGAGGTATCAGTTCAGCCTGTTCTACTTTGTGCGACTCTTTAAGAACTGCATGGACAAGGCGGCCAAGAGTGGGCGGCCCAGAGTGGACCAAGTGTGTGGTCTACACTCACGTCCGATTACACTTGGAGTGTGTCCTGCACTGGTACAAGGGAGTCGGGAGGATCTCTTTCCGGGTCCGAGTGCATTTTTGGAGCGTCCCGCATGACATCGGTGGATTGAGGTGATGACATTGACATCCGCATGACGAACTTGAGCAACCAGATTCTCAACGGAATCTTCCAAAATGTCTGCCGAGGCTTGGGAGCATCAGACACATGGGATGTCATTTCGATGTGAGGTGCCTTCATTTATTATTCCTGGTGTCGGGTCAGGTCTGGGAACAATTAATAGGAATAATAATCAGTTTAAAAACCTAGGTTCCAGACCCCTTGCTTGGTGTGGTCGATGTTTTCCAGAAACCATTTGTGCATGTGATGTCAAGACACACAGGAATTATAAATGAAGAATGCTTGTCAGCTGTTGGATCTCGGTGTACTTTCTCAGCTTTGCTGTGCACAGAATCTAAGCTGACTCAAAGTAACTACCGCCGAGATGAGGGGCTTCTAGAATTGCCAGGAGGTTGGGAAGTTGAGTAGGCGAGCGAAGGAGCTGCTAAGACAAAGACAAGACAGAGATGGAGAATTTCTAAGGCACAGAGAATTTCACAGGTGGAGAGTTTCCAGAGGCCAGGACAGCCTAGCAGCCAAAGTTGAACAACTAGAGTAGGGAGGTGTAGATGTGGCAGGTACGGGGGTAGAAGGTGTGGGGAAGCGCTTGACCCGTGAACGTGCCCTGGGAGAAGTGGGAGGTGTAGACCTGGCAGGTACGGGGTTGGAAGGTGTGGGGAAGTACTTATTCCTGTGTGCGTGACCTGTGAACGTACCCTGGAATCATTGCCGCCAATGGGAGGGGGCTGTGAGAGTTGGCAGGGGTGAGGAACTTGGGTAAGCCAGCGAAGGAGCACGGCTGAGACAAATAATCAGAGTTCCAGAGGTGAGGCACAAAGAACCTCACGGGTGGAAAGTTTCCAGAGGCCAAGACGGCCAAGACAGTCTAGCAGCATCAAGCAGGCAAAGTTGAACAGCTAGAATGGAGCTGGGATGGAGAGAGGTGTAGACTTGGTAGGTTGGGATATAATTAAAGATATGGGAACGTACTTGACCTGTGAATATGCCCTGGAAATCCTAGAGCTTTAAAGATGAACAGGAGAAAAGGCGGCCTTGAGATTCAGCATGTCATATTCCCGACCATCCGTCGTCTATTTTTTAATATAACGCCTAAACTTTGAATAGACGCACGTTTTCTTGACTTTACCTCCTAGGTTTTGTTTCGCACTTCCGTTAGCACATTTGTAATATATACGCGGCTTTTTCCACGACCCTAGCTCAGCTACCCCACCGCCTTTGCCCTTTTCCGTAATGGCTTGCTACGGAAGCCTCTTGGACCAAAGAAATTGCAACGCGTCACATCCAAATTCTATATGAATTCAGGTGTGCCCCCTAAATTTCAATGTTACCAGTAATTTTCCCATTCGAAGTTGTAGAAAGCCGTTTGAGCGTGTAAACACCGGTTGGAACCCGTAATCCATGTGTATGTTCGCAGACAGAGGAGCCATTTTCCGCCCACAGCCGAAGGCTGATCAAGACACCAAGGCCAGTCCTTGCGCTCATCGCGGTCAGTTCCACACGAATGACATTCCAAGCTGTATATTGCAGCTTTCAAAACAAACTTGTAGACTTTGCAGACTTGCAAAGACCTCATCAATACATGATAAATGTTTGGGAGGCATTAGACTTCCCTGCAGCCACTTTTTCACTCACATGGTGGCTGTGGCTTGAGTTGGCCTGCCTTGCAGGCCAGGTTTTGGCAAATTGAGACCAAGACCAAGGGAGTTCATGCGCTCGTGAACCTTTCTGGGAGCTGAAGTCAGTGTTATTTCCAATCGCGCAATGGTCTTTCGAGTGCAACACCAGACCAGGCATTCACTGCATTCATTGTGTTGCCATCAACCTGCGGCTGCCGGTCAGCTCATTCTCAACCGGTTAAGAGCCAGGGGCTATTCCGGTTTCGCTCATGGTGGCACCTGAGGACACTCCGAAGGAGAGGCCTTCCAAACACAGTCTACAGCGACAATGTAAGAAGACTGGCAATTGCACGGGATGATGCACCAGCCGCAAAGGATGCGAGATGGGTATAACCTTTGCTGTCACTATGGTCCCAAATTGCAGAAGCTTACAAACACTGCTGTCGGAAAAAGCACGAGGAATATCAAAGAGAATGCACCGATGCTCATGGTAATTTGTCAGTGGATACGCCAAGAACGGCGCTTCCCTCCAATTGACCCACTTGCAGAACAAGTCCTAAACTCTATCTACAGCCGGAGCATCACCAGCGCCCAAAGCAATGACTAAGCCTGGTAAATCCGCTACCAGTTCCGTTACCTGTTGCCTGCTAAACCTCTTGAAAAGCACAGTCCGTCTTGTAGTTCTATGGCAAAGGGTAAGCTTTGGATTTGGTTCGTGGTGTATTTTCGGAAGTTGTTTTTTGCGGTTGGTGCCTGAGTGAGGCTTCTCGCACAAGGGCTTTGAACTTTTGGATGAGGGAATTGCACAGTGAGAGCACTTGGATCCCTGCAAACAATTCAGTGGTTCTCGATGGTGCTTGCAAACACTTCCTGCAAGGCCTTTCCCACCTTGCCTTTTTGAGCCTTGGTAGACAGCAGTGTATACAGTGTTCATATGGTCTGGTACCAAAGGGTCACGTGCTTTGGCATGTTTGGCGCCACATGGCCACAGAAACTGTGGCTTGTGCATTTGTGCGGAACCCGATGACATTTTCACGCTCCATGGACGAGGATTTCATTGGAAGATATTGTGCCTTGACCAGATGAGTATCCCCACGGTGCCGCATTCAATGAAGTTTGGAGTGGCATCTAACACAGGTTCAAATACTCTGGGGACACTCAGGACGCAGAGGGTGAAAGACAGTGAAGGGTGTGGGGAGATGGATGTGGTTTAGTTTTGGGGTTATGAAAGGCGTGCGGAGGTGTAGGCGTTAAAAAGTGTAAATTGGTGTACTGATGTGTAAATTCCCGCTGTGTCATGGAACTTCTCAACAATAATGCAAGTTCAACTGAATTTACACGTGCCCATGAAATTTCAATGCTTTCAGGGTAACAGGTGTACATACATATATATATATATGTCTACGTTCGTTGTTTCAATTTTCTGAAAGGTATTCAACCTGACGATGTTTTGCGTCAGAGTTGACTGACGGCCACGTACAGCTGAGCCCAAGTTCCTCTTTGGCGGGGTATACAACAGAGCAAGCCTGGGTAAGTGCGACGCTTGGATATCTACCCTCAACCATGTTTCTGCCTCCTAAACGTGTTCTGCTTATAGGTCCGGAACGCTACGCCCTCATTGAAGGGCAGGGTCGTGCGTTCTATGGTTTTTGAAATGCTCTCTATACCACCGCTTCGTTTTAGGCGTGCCCCTCATCAATCACCGTGACACCCCGCCGCCTGAGCCCAGAGGAGGGCAAAACAATTTGTTGTTCTCGAAGTGTCTCCCTTATTTCTGGCTGCAAGTGCTTTATTTCAACGGGCTGCGTTAGAATTGCGATTGTCATTTCGCCCTCATGGACATCGTGTGGTAATGGTCACGGGACTACCACACGATGTCACTGCCGAGCAGCTGGTCCGAGACTTCTCGGCCGAGGGCGAAGTCGAACATGTCAAGGCAAGTCAGTGCGGCAAGAACAAGAAAAGTTTCCTATATATATATATATATCTTTACATCGCCGTAGACTTGACTTACGCGTATTTTATTCTGCGCAGGTGGTCGTGCGAGATGTGAACTACGCCGCTGCCTGTTTTTGTTTAAAGTTTAAAGACCCGCAAAGCGCACAGGCTGCATTTGTAGACTGGTCCGGTACATAGTACATGAACCGGAAACTCGTCATTTTATCATTCTTCCTCTTTGGCTTTCCTCTGATGCTTCATCCGCGCGCGTCTCGTCTTCCTCGCAACGCTTCGAAGTCCACTGGAGTCCTGGATGCTTCGTCCGCCGAGCGCAGCACTTCTTCGTCCGTCGTCCATTCACCGCAGTTCAGCACGTTCAGCGGGCGCTGAACGAGCGCGACGTGGCGGGAGGCTTGTTTGAAGACAACAAGTTGACCTGCAGTTTCCTGATTGCCACCGCACTGCAGCGGCACGCTGGCGAAATCAGCCCCACTGAGTGGTCTTTGCTCCTCAGGCGCGGCCGGTTTTTGAACTAGTGGAAGGGCTATGTGTGGCTATTGTGACGGTCGACCGCTTTTGTTCTTGTTTGCTCTCTAAGTGTGACTCGTATGATTTGTAGGGTTGTTGCTTGTTTCCGCATCCATCATGTCAACTTTTGTTGGTACATTGTTTTGTTTGCACATTGTTTAGGCAATTTCACTGACTCAGAGAATTGACTCACATGCTGTGCGTCTGAAAGATCTTCCTCTTGGTGAACGAGCTACCAATTGCTTGCCTTTGTGCCAACCCTGTCAGGGGTGTTGGATTGCTGGACATGAGCGCTAAGCCTCCAAATCCGGACACGGATTTCTTCACCGATAAAATGTGGGACTTCGCCCTTTGCACTGCAAGATGCCAGCAGGTTTCCATGTCGGAATCCAGAGTGAGACTTTCAGACCAATGCTGATTGCATTTGTATTGTTTTTTCACTAGAGACATGCTGACTACGTAAAATCATAAAGTGGGAGGGGGCTCAAACACTTAGTATCTAAGACTTGTCTCAGGGCATCTCTCGTATGTGAGATCCCTTGCTCTTGGAGTCTATTGTTTCGTTTTTTTGTTTTGTATATGTTTTTTGAGCTTCTCTCTTTAGTCCCTGAGCTGGTCACGTCTCCCTATCGCAGAGCATAAACAGAGCCTGTCACACTTCACACAGTACATGTTACATGATGATCATGGCCGAATTGATTTAAAATGTAATCACTACATGAAACCCTTCCGTACGTCTCGCATGACCGTGCTGTGATATTGGTTTGACCAATCTGATGACTCATGGAACGTAATGAGTTTGACACCTTGTATCGGTACCGCATGCAATGGTGGTGACGCAACGTTCTCCTGTCCATTGAACATACCTCCTAGCAGCAGAGCTAAATGATGCCCAAGGGCTCTGGGTGTTTTATGCTTGGTAGGAGCCAAAACGAAGCATATCAGGTCCAAAAAGCTTCAATTGGCATGGCTCTGGAGTTGATGTGCACGTAGTGTACTTTGCTCTCGCTATCCCTCCCTGGGATATTGGTTGACAGACCTGCAGTCTGCCACTCAGGTCTATGCCATTCAGCAGTACTCATTCGATCGTTGTCCAGACTTGTGTGAACACATCACTGAGAACCTCGAGGACTGGAAAGATTGGGTCCGGACACCCGGCCGGATCACCTCGTCGCTCGTCGACACGAATGTTGGTATGTCTTCGCTTTCAGGTTGTTCACAGCAACATTCTATTGAGTGGAGCAGTGTGTGTGAGGTTTTTCAACATGTTCCTACTTTCTGTTGGGAGCCATGTTTGATCGAACTTGGGTTGAGATCGGACTTGGACTCTACCCGGGCACAGGTGGCACATGAGCAGCCACACTTGCAGCCGATGCCGCTGAACTATGAGGAGCTTTCCAGCTTGAAGGGGGCCGAGACGCCCGGAGAAGTACCCTCTCCATCCAACAAACATGGTTACGTGGAACATGGCCCCGAAAGGAAGACTTTCTTCCTCTATGAACAGACTGTATTCCACTTCGTTCCAGGGAGTGTATCTCCGAGCTGACCTGGGCGAATGCACAGCTGACAGCTGACAGGAGAACAGTCAGTTGCACTACTTCCACTACTTGTTGCTCCTGAAGGCCAAAGGGACCAAGTGACCCGTCACATCACCAGGGCCCACCCATAAAAGTATCCACGTTGGAGTCAAGAAGCTTGCAGAGTAGTGCATCGTTTTGTCCATGTGAAAGTTTGTCGTTTGACTGCAACATTACAAGCTTGTTCGGAGTCAAGACCGTGTTGGAGTCTCGGCTGAAAGGGCTTTTCACCAACACCGGGCCGTGCATTTTCAGGGCTTGGCACAAGAGAAGCTCTTGGTCGCCATCCAGGAACATACACGGAGGCGCAGCATGGTGCACGAGCGAAAGCTCGCACGGTCAACATGCACGCACGAGGGTGACGGGCAACGTTTCTGATGACGCGGTTTCTGAAGAACGTTTGCTTCATGACAAGCAATGTTTTTAGTAGGTTGGAGTGGTAGGTTGGAGGCCAACACTTATTGTTTCCAGAACTTGCCCTTGAGAATCCACGTGTCAGAAACTGGGCTCGGGAGAAGCTGGGCATGAATCGACACCACAACAGGGTTCCAGCCGCGACAGGTGCTTGGGTGAGGATTTCATTATCTTCCCCACTGCGACAGCCTGGTTCATAGAAGTTAGCTCCTTTTGCACAACCTGTAAGTTGGACCAAGTGTGGTTCTTTTGTTTAACAGACAGTTAGCATGCAACTTCACTGTCCAGCTCGTAACATAACTGTCAAGATCTTTCTCGAAAAGGTCACGTGAGCACCAACTTACAGTAGGACTCAGGGGTGCAACAAGGTACTATGACCTTTCTTCTTTTTCTTTTTCTCTTTGTTTCTAATAGCGATTGCCTCCACCTATAGTAGCGATGGCCTCCAACCTGGACGCAAAAGGGCTCCTGCGAACATTCCGAGGTGGCAGAGCTTTATGCGGACTCCACTCGAAGTACTCCCATTGCCTCTGGGCGTTCAGAAAGTGTTACCCCTTTTTCCGTGCTTGTTGTGGAGACTTGTGCTCCTGGTGAAGAGTCTACGATCAGAGCAATCTCAGCCCTTTGCCGTATAGTATAGAACAGCAAGACCGCACTCACATCTATAAAGACATATACTTAAGCTTTTGGGCTTTTGGGTTAGATTGAAGCTGATGTCGCTGTTGCCACACGGGCGACATGGACAGAACTGTGTTTCAACCAAGGTCTTCGTTTTGTCAACTGGTGCAGACCCTACCTCGATGCGGGACACTGAGAGGAAGTCACGATGGTAGGGATGTGAGGATGATGTGCGGTTTTGTGCAAGTGTTATATAGATGCAGTTGGTTCATACAGCTTTCCAATTTCACAGTAAGCTTGATCCCAGTCGCAAGATTAATCATATGTTCAAAAGGACCTGCCGAGCATATATCGACAGTTTCTTTGTCCAGCGCTTAGGTTGCTCCGATTTGCCCAAGAAGTGGACATGGTCGGGGCGCCCGTCCACCGCAGGTGTTGGCCAAAGGTGAACTGCTTGGCTTACCCGATCACCAGAGTTGCATGGCCAAATGGCCCAACTCGAAGCAGCTATTGACGCTGTCAGACTATGGCATTGCGGTATTGCCATGTCAATGGCTTAGTAGCTTAGTTAGTTGGGGAATGTTGGGGATGTCTATTGATTTCTCTGCCTTGGGGCGCAAGTGTGGGCCGCTGAGCCGAGCTCTGAGGCCTCGACCATGGGTGTCATCTCCTTAGGGCAAGGGCAAGGACCCAAGGTGCGGACGCCCCGAATGGGCCGAACGTGTCATGCCGAATCAGTTGTGGCTGTGCCCCAAGCTACACAGAAAGACACATGGAAAGAAGCAGGTCGGACTCCGGGTCCATCCACGAACCTGACTCTTCAGCATGAAGGTGTTGGATGCGTTGATGTGTTCCTACAGAAACATGTCTCGTAATCCCGGCTGCTGTACATTGCATTCGATTGGCAACTCGTTGACTTGCAGGCTTTCTTTGGGCGCGTCGTGTTCACACGTTGTCAGATGTTTTCTCATGAAAAAGATCAGTGTCTTCCTCGATGCACTGCCAAGCATCCCTGTCCGCACAGAGGCCAAGACAATGGTGGTGGAAGCACGGAAGAAGGGCACCTGGGTGCTCCTCCAGAATTGCCACCTTTACAAGAAGCTTGGATCAATTTCTCTCCCGGTCACACCGGGGCGAAGGGGACTTTGACACAGTCATCAAAAGTTCCAGCATCAACAGCCACCATTGGCTTTTGTTCGGAGCCAAACCTGCATGTCTGTCGAAGGGCCTGTCCGAAGGAACGGCCCAAGAGTCGGAGAGCTCCGTCGTGAAAGTGGCGCGGTTCGGCACTTGTTTCTACGTTCGCTTCTTGTTACTACTAGTAAGGCACTTGTTACTACTAG